TGTGTGTGTGTGTTTCAGTGTGTTTCAGGAAGTGTGTGTGTGTTTCAGTATGTGTGTGTGTGTTTCAGTGTGTGTTTCAGTATGTGTGTGTGTGTTTCAGTGTGTTTCAGGAAGTGTGTGTGTGTTTCAGTGTTTGTGTGTGTTTCAGGATGTGTGTGTGTTTCAGTATGTGTGTGTGTGTTTCAGTATGTGTGTGTGTTTCAGTATGTGTGTGTTTCAGTGTGTGTGTGTTTCTTTCTGCTGTTTGGTTTTCATGGTTCAGGTGGTTCTGGATCCTGTTGTGGCGGGCAGATCCCCCCTCCCCCCCCGTGGTTCTGATGGGTCAGTCATGCGTAGAACCTGTTCCCTCTGGTCTCTTGAAGTCCTGCAGGATTCAGTTTTAGAGACACGAGGAACCTGAAAAGGTTCTGATCTTCAGCCGTAACATTAAGACCACCTACCTGTGTCGCCTCCTGGACCTGTGAGGACCTGCAGAACCCTGGTGGTTCTGGTGGTTCTGTTCGATCTGTTGGAGTGAAATAATAAATGCTGCTGACAGGAAGTTGTTGACGAGCTTTATTGCAGGTCAGAAATGATGAAACCAGACAGTGAACACATGAAGCTTGTTAATGAGCGGACGGACCGGGCTGCCTTCAGAACCTGACCTCAGATTCTTTAAAACCTTCATCAGAATCAGCGCCGCAGGTATTTACACACGACAACTTCCTGCTGCAGCTTCTAACAAACAGGTTAAACAAGTAAAGCTGTGATTACAGTAAAATGTTCTCCTCTACAAACACATCATAAATATTTAAAGTCACTGCTGCCTACGTTAAATATCCAAACATTTATTTCTCTGGAGAAAGAAAAACATCCAAAATGTCACTAAAAGCTGCAGACACTTCCTGTTTCTCTCTAATAAAAGCTAGTTTGATTTGGTTTTTAGTGTCCGGGAGGTTTTTCTGTTCTTCGGGTCAACCGGAGGACTGAAGGGTTCTGAGCAGGAAGAATCTGGACCCAGAGAGACGCCTCGTCTCGTCCAGGAAAACAGGAAAACGTGGAATCTATGTCTTCATCTTCATTCCCCCTGACAGCAGGAAGGGACCACCACGGACCACTGCTTACAGTCAGACTGGGTGTTTGGTTCATTTCATCAAACAAAGTGAGTCCAGAACCAAGACCAGTCTGGTTCCGGGTCACACCGCCGTCTCCTCGTCCTCTCTCTGGATCATCTGGTAATGCTGGCGGCTCCCCAGGTAGTCAGCCAGTTCCTGGTCGTTGGCCTTGGCGGCGCGGTGTTTGGGTGTGTCGCCCTGAAACACAAACATCTGAGTGAGCCTCACAGAAAGCTGCTGAACCCGTCTGACCGGAAGGATCGGACCTCCAGAACCAAACAGGAACAAGATGAGAACATGTCACTCATCTGACAAAGTTCAGTTCTTCATTAAAACCTTTCGTCGGATGTTGGATGGATGGATGGATGGTTGGTTAGATGGATGGATGGATGTTGGTTGGATGGATGGATGGATGGATGGTTGGTTAGATGGATGGATGGATGGATGGATGGATGGTTGGATGGATGGATGTTGGTTGGATGGATGGACAGATGGACATTGGTTGGATGGATGGGTGGATGTTGGTTGGATGGATTATTGGATGGATGTTGTTTGGATGGACGGGTGGATGTTGGATGGATGGATTAACGGATGGATGTTGGTTGGATGGATAGGTGGATGTTGGATGGATGGATGGATGGATGTTGGTTGGTTGGATGGATGTATGGATGGATGTTGGTTGGTTGGATGTATGTTGGATGGATGGATGGATGGATGGATGGATGATGTTGGTTGGATGGATGGATGATGGAACCCTTCAGTGGTTCTAACCATCCTGTGGTGGATTTGGACCCTGGTCCAGAGAACTTGGACCCTGGTCCAGAGGACTTGGACCCTGGTCCAGAAGCTTTGGACCCTGATCCAGAGAACTTGGACCCTGGTCCAGAAGCTTTGGACCCTGGTCCAGAGAACTTGGACCCTGGTCCAGAGGACTTGGACCCTGGTCCAGTCCTGGACACTAAATCAAACATAAAGTCTTTATTGGAGCAGAGAAGAAGAAAGGCTCAGACTCTGAGCTGCTTCCTGTTTCCTCTGCCTCACCATGGAGACAGAGAGACCAGCTCTTTGTGTGAGGCCGGGAATCCTGCAGCGCCTCGTTCCTCACTGACACACAACATTAATCACTTTATACAACTGGGTCAAGTCCTGCTGCAGACCCTGTTAGAGTGCTGCGCTACGGACCGGACCGGACCAGGAGGGGCGGGGCCACTGGCCGCCGTCCTCACAGGAAACACCACACAAACAGTACGAGCTGCAGGAAGCTGACGAGAAACTGCCAACCAATCACATCCTTCCATGTCAGAGTTACTTATACAGGTGAGGGACAGGTGGGAGGGACAGGTGAGAGGGACACAGGTGGGAGGGACAGGTGAGAGGGACACAGGTGAGAGGGACACAGGTGGGAGGGACACAGGTGGGAGGGACAGGTGAGAGGGACAGATGAGAAAGACGGGTGAGAGGGACACAGGTGAGAGGGACAGGTGATAGGGACATAGGTGAGAGGTACAGGTGAGAGGCACAGGTGAGAGGGACACAGGTGAGAGGGACAGGTGAGAGGGACACAGGTGGGAGGGACAAAGGTGAGAGGGACACAGGTGAGAGGGACACAGGTGAGAGGGACAGGTGAGAGGGACAGGTAATAGGGACACAGGTGAGAGGGACAGGTGAGAGAGACAGGTGAGAGGGACACAGGTGAGAGAGACACAAGTGAGAGGGACAGGTGAGAGGGACACAAGTGAGAGAGACAGGTGAGAGGGACACAAGTGAGAGGGACACAGGTGAGAGGGACAGGTGAGAGGGACACAGGTGAGAGGGACACAGGTGAGAGGGACACAGGTGAGAGAGACAGGTGAGAGGGACAGGTGATCTCTCGTTTACCTGCAGGTCTGTCTTCATCAGAGATGCCCCCGCCTCCACCAGGAAGTGACAGATGCTCCTCTGACAGAGGGCGGCGGCTTTATGGAGCGCTGTCTCACCTCTGAAACACAAAAACCACAGAAGAAGAAAAGAAGTCTTTGATCTTTGTTTGATCTCAGGTTTAAAAACAGGACAGAGGTGGACTCACGAGTCTTTCTCTGCAACGTCCAGGTGAGAGGTCGACACTGAAGATAAACAAAAACAAACAACTGATCAACAAACTGCGAACAAGTTAACATTTAATTGTTTGTTTGTTTAGATGAAAACAGATCTCTCACCGTGGTCGATGAGGTACTTCACAACATCTTTACTGCCCGACTGCACGGCGTGATGCAGCAGCGTGCAGCCACCTGCGTCCTGCAGCTGGAGCTCCACCCCCTGCAGGTGGAGTTCCTTCAGCTGTAGCACAACAAACACATCGAAGGGTCAAAGATCAAAACAAACTGAACAACAGGAAGTGACCCAAACATAAACAACCCAGGACCACTAAAGACCTGAGGACATCAGAGGACCAGTCTGGACCTCAGGACAAAGTTCAAAGAGGAACTAAAGGTTCTGAAGTTGTCCAGTTTGACCCAGACTCAGAAGGTTAAGTGGACTCACCCTGTCCAGGTTCTGGTTCTGGACGCAGTGGATCAGTTCTTCACCTGCAACAGAACCACAGATCAGGTGAAACATGTCAACGCCACCTGGTGGACAAACACAGTAACAACAACCTGAGCCTCAGCTGGGTCCTGATGTATCGGACCTCAGACGAGATCTGATCCACCAGGACTCGTGTTCGCTGCAGGTCTGGATAAGTCCTGGTTCTGGACCCCAGAAACCCACCTTTTTCAGTCATCAGTGAGGCAGCAGTCGAGGTTCTGTGAGGAAACAAGAACCAGACACACATTAACACCCTGAAGTCCTTCAACCTGGGTCTAAATCCGGTTCTAAACCCGGTTCTGGTTCTAAATCCAGTTCTGGTTCTAAACTCGGTTCCACAGCCCATCATGACATGAGGACAAAGTGAGAAAGGTGAGGAAACAGAAGCCAAAGCTGCTCTCCGATTGGTCAGATATTAAGACAGTAAAAAAGTGGACAGCCTGGAGGACAGGTGGACAGACTGGAGGACAGATGGACAGCCTGGAGGACAGATGGAACGACAGATGGACAGCCTGGAGGACAGATGGAACGACAGATGGACAGCCTGGAGGACAGATGGACAGCCTGGAGGACAGGTGGACAGACTGGAGGACAGATGGACAGCCTGGAGGACAGATGGACAGACTGGAGGACAGATGGACAGACTGGAGGACAGATGGAACGACAGATGGACAGCCTGGAGGACAGATGGAACGACAGATGGACAGCCTGGAGGACAGATGGACAGACTGGAGGACAGATGGACAGCCTGGAGGACAGATGGACAGCCTGGAGGACAGATGGACAGCCTGGAGGACAGATAGACTGCTGGACAGATGGACAGACTGGAGGACAGATGGACAGCCTGGAGGACAGACTGGAGGACAGGTGGACAGACTGGAGGACAGATGGACAGCCTGGAGGACAGATGGACAGACTGGAGGACAGGTGGACAGATGGACAGACTGGAGGACATGTGGACAGACTGGAGGACAGATGGACAGACTGGAGGACAGGTGGACAGACTGGAGGACAGGTGGACAGACTGGAGGACAGACTGGAGGACAGGTGGACAGACTGGAGGACAG